TAGATGCTCTGGCCACGTTAACAAAACAAAAGAAAGTCTAGAGTGAATCTGTGAACAAAAATGGCAATGACTTAGTTGCCAACCCAATAGAAGTCACTTTGGTGTTGCAAAAATGATGACAAAACCGACTGAGTACTCAATAACACTTACATAGGTTGGCGAGTGTGTTGAGTAGAGTCATGTAAGTACCCCCAAGTAATGGATCAGCAATTCGAGCATGAAAGGTTCCTTGACTCAAATATACAATTGATTCAAATACAGAAGAAATTGCAGTAAGCATCGCGATGATTGCGTAGAAGTAGGGTGATATGGTCACCCTGGTACCTTGGATTATACTGCTGCTATTTCCATTAACGATTGTTGAGTTAATCGATGTCTCCGTTTTAAAGTAATCAACGTAGTAGACAAGTGGTATTGATGTAAAAGACAGAAAGAATCTAAATTCGAAAGAGACAGAGAGACAGAGAGATATTATTAGAAGTTTGTGAGCATCAGCAGTATGGAGTTAATTAAAGAAAAAGAAACTGACAATGGAATGGAGAATTTGAGCATAGTGCTGATTGGTCGAGGACCACTGCTGCATCGAACGACAAGAAGTGGGAGTACAATGTCGTAAGGTATCATAAACATGCTTATAAGAGAAACCTGTTCCTTCGAGAGTCCTCTTTCGATAAGCTTCAACCCGGAGGCAGAATCACTTGCGATTAAAATGAACTGAAAGTGAGATATAAAAGCTTTTATGATCATTCGAGTCAATGGAGTTGGGTCAAGATCATTAAGTCAATCAGCTGATTGCACACTCTCCAGTGACTACTTCAATTAAAGCAATTATTGCTAAAGTTAAGTGGACACGTTGTTTCATCTACTGTCTGAGTATTCGACTGGTCTTAAAATCTGTGGTTAACTTCTGTAACTGAATGCCAACCTTAAGACAAAAGGTGCCATATGAAGATGTTCCTCTCACATACATAAATTATATAAATTCACAGACATACATATAGAAGGTTATAAAAAAATAGCCTATTACACAAAGATAACATGATTAATTATGTTGCTGCAGATAAATTTTGCACAAATGTAAGAAATATTTGCAGTAAAATCAACTTCAAACCTACGTTTCGTGCTAATATGAACGCAACATATACAAGAACTGGTTTCAGCATCAACATTCGGATCATTGTTATGTAAGCTCGAGAGAAGAATTTACACCTCGACATGGTGGTCTGATTTTCGTTCTTCTCTTCTAACACCTCATTTTCTTTGTTTGATGGTAATTCCAGCTCCTCGGAACCAACTGGATCACGCGAGGCTTCTTCATTGCCATCATTTTCATTCACAGTTACATCAACAACTTGTGAGGAAGTCTCATGATTGGAATTTTCAATTTCCTTCTTAAACAAACCAACCGGAATTGTTGAAATAGTAAAAAGCACTCCACAGGCGTAAAGAAAACCTAATCGATTGAAAGAGGGTTAATTGTGATCCTTATTCTATCAACCTACCAGAGAAGCTGATGAATCCTTTTCCAGGGATAGGAGTAGAACGAAAATGGTCGTTGCACATATCTGGGGACTCAAAAACCATGAAAAGAGTGGAGCCGACTAGTATACCAATGCTTTGTCCAGTGGTTTGGCAAGTTGGTGCCCAGCCTAGATTCCTTCTAAAAGTGTCGAGTTAGTGAACACGAATTTCTTACTTGGATAGCATAGATATGGCCCAACCATCCACAGCGATGTCTTGAGTGGCAGCGAGGAAATTGAGACTGAAAAATGCTGCAGTGAGGGCAAAAATTTGGACATCACCAGTGGTTCCCAGGGGTCCCCAAGCATCACCCACAGGTCGACCCAACCAACGATCGACAAAACCTCCGATAATGAAAAACATACCACCAATAGCTAATTGTACAGGAATGAGCCAGGACTTTCGTCGACCGATTCGCTTGAAGTAGAACGTATCCACGAAGGGTGCCCAGATGAGTTTGAGTGAAAATGTCCAGTAAACCCATGAAAAGATGCCCACATCTCGATAACTGACAGTTTTCTTGTTTGATTGTAGTAAAAGTGGAACAACCGATGTAATACCAAGGAGAATACCCTACAGAGTTGAACAACAAATTGTTCATGCTAAAATAAATTAAGAAATCGTAGAGAAATTAATCGTATGCCAATCTGTTATCTTGACTATATAGCCTGGCTAGTTTTTCGATGACAATAAACCAGTAACTGCTAATAAAGCTTTACCAAGAATTTTCCACTAAATTTAGGTAGAGGGTGATCCCATAGAGTCTCTCTGTATTTGGTCGCACTCCCCAGAGGCGTGTGATTCGATGGACAGCGAAAGGCCACTTGACTTGGTGGGTGTTTACGTTACTCGCTACGCCATCGTGAAATAAGGTGGTATTATCAGGAATTTGAGTTCCTTCAAGGAGTATCAACGAGCCAATTTGGCCATCGTCTTCTCAGAACGTGCGTCGGCATGAGTCGTAGACCTCATACTCCTGACTAAGGGAAGGTTCTTCGCCAAGGTGCATAAAATAAGAATGACATATTGGATCTGGTTTATAGGAGTATTAGATTGAATGGACTTTCAATGGAGAGATTCCCGCGTTATCGGTATGGAATAATTATATTTTACTTAGGCATTATTTGACGTTAAAAGCAAACCATGAAATACTACTGAATGAATTAAAATAACATTGTAAATTGTAGTATTGCATTTAAGAGATCTATATGGTACATACATAACAAACAATATGAATTCGAAAGAAAAATATTGCCAATTAGTTCATTCGATCTTCCAATTGAGGATTTCTTCTCGACACCCAACCAATGTAGACAAAATCATTAGCCAGAGAAAATTCAACGAAGATGATTTCGTTTACTTTGACCTTGAAATGATTATTGATTGTTTGTTTATAGAGAGGTCTCCTCACACATGACCTCATTTGACCGCTAACGTGGTCCCCGTGAGGCCACACACATGAGATTGACTAGGTCAACAGTAATAGGATTGCGTCATGAAACTCGATTCCTGCCAATTCCTCCACTTCTTCCTGCATCAAGAGTGCTACTGTGCACCGATGACTTCAGAATTTGCGGATGAGCACATTACAAGTACCACATTGAACACATTGGAAAAAAATGAATCTAAATTTTGATGTTATTTATAATGCAAATGGGATGAAGACAGAGCCAACTTTTAGAACTTGTGATGCGAAACGCAAATATTTAGACTCAGGTTAATTTCGAAACAATTTAGCTAGTTAAAAGGAGTAATCCAATTGGCTAAAAATGTTCAATATCGGAATGTGAGGATAGTGCTACATCGAAATCAGAAATGCAAATCAAAAGGAGATATGTTGGCATAAGAAGGAAGATCGTTTAATTAATTCGGTAACATTTATGGCGTACTTACTTTGTTCTAACAAGCGATACCCAACATAGAATAACATGGTACAATATGTTTATTAATCTATTTTTTAATCCAATTACCCGCCAAAATGTATAATGAGTGAACTTACTTGCAGTGTGTAGAGAAAAACGAGCAGAAGAATGTTTGTGGAATCTTTCCACACCGTTGAATGCCTAATTCGTGAGAAGAAATTCTTCTGATTTGCCGATTTCTTTTCTTCCTCTTCCCCCATACTTCTGATCTAAATTGTAGAAATCACTGTCGCCTATAAATCCCCGTGTCACCCATATTAATAAATGATCACTTGAGCGTTTTTTCCAGCTAGATACTCTAAATTCAATATCTATTTCCCACTATAAAACCAAAACTCCAGATATTTACCCTTTCAGAACAATAATACCTCAACCGATCATCGTGGTAATTAAAATAAACACAATTGACTCTAATTAGATCTTTGCTCGTTCAACATTTACTGCTATTTCATCTCTTTTAAATCATAGGATCAGCTCTTTTGCATTAACAAAAATGGTAAATGGGCATTGTCCAACTGAGGTATAAATTTTCATCAATTCGGACAGAGTCTCACAAAATCTAACTTTTGAAGCTACCAAGTGCACAATTATTGAGCACCTATCATTTCTCTTAGAGTCTTGTTGATCAACTTAACTTTTTTTATTTCTGCGATAAAGTCGTGTCAATCATTTGTCACAAATAAATTATATTGCCCTGGGAATTAACGTCAATATTGTACATTTACATTTGCTTAGATATGATTGCACTATTATTGTTCATAACAATCTTTGAGGCAAAATCCATGTCATGTGACTAATCTTTTTAATTTGGAGGGACGAACGTACCAAGGTGACCTGACTAGGATCTAACTGGATTTCAAACACCACATTTGTTCGATTCTCTACTCAATATCATTCAACGGGCTAAACTTGTGTAAATGCGCCTGATAAAATGCTGGAATATTTTAGTTAAACAAATCATTGTCCATGAAATATCGATATTTACCTAGCGGTGAAGTGGATGTTGAAAGTCCAAAGGCGATTTGGAGACACTTATTGACAAATGATGTTTGAATTGAAGAGCCGAGAAATTCTGGCAGAAGTCTGTCTGAGAAACTGTTCAACCTGGAAGTAAGGAGAGAAAGATGCAGTGAAATGAGATAAATCTCTTGGTTATAATTCGAATGGAAGCCGGCACTCACAATCCAACCAACGTGAAAAATGAGGTCAAAACGTTCTATAGGCTTATAAACAAACGATAGAGAGATTCTAAACCAGCTCTTACGGACAATGTCCTGTTGGCGATAATTTAATCTTAATTTCATACTCAGAAGTTCAAGCAACAGATTTCTCCGTCATTTAATTGACAAATAACCCTCCATGATCTCAACTGTTTCACTTAACCACTAAGTCGATCTTCACTAGTAGCTATCTACGTGATCAATGAGCCCGAAAGATATAGTTGTCACTAATTTGTTGATGTCCTGACGTCCTATTTTCGACTTCTCAAATGCCCGAATGGAACAGTAACAAATGAAAATTACCTTTCTGTAGACCACGAGATGATTCCTTGAATCTGATAGTTCTTCAAATGAGCTGCACTAAGTTAGACTCTTCACCAGAAACCCTCAATAAGCATAAAAACGCTTCAAATTGGATCTCCCTCTCTGCAATCATTGGCTAACCATAAAGTCAATCATCAATTTCATACTCAAACGCCATATAAGTAAAGTTATATTGATAATAAAAACTGTTCATTTGGATGAAAATATTATCAAATTGACAACGCTCTTTGTTGTTTTATTACTTCACCATTTCATTACCCCTCAATCCTTTTCATTTGTGCCATAGACAAAGTGAATGTGTGACGCAGGTGGTTGGGTTGGAAGTTGGGAGCACAAATCAGGCACTATCAGAATTCTAATACCATTGAAGTAGCCACGTTTGGAAATACTTCCACATCACACTAATATGCTTCAAATTAAACCATTCAACAATAGTGTCATTTCTTTTGTCCTCTTTAGTAAGGTGAGATTGTCTCAAAAACTGTAATTTTTCAAGAGGCTGCTACACTGCCGTCGACCACGATGTTGTTCTTCGTGATACCCCTGACTTGGCGTTCCTGCGAAAATGCAACTGTTGAAAAGGCGAGTGCAGTTCTCAACACCACCACCACAGATCCGAGCAAACTGATCCAACTTGCTGACCAATTTCTGGCCAAAAATGTAACCTGCATGAACGTTGATGGTGTGAATGCCTGCAAACTGGCTGGAGGTTCCTGTCGTACGATTGTGGATGGCTTCTACATCGAAATTGGATTATGTCTTCTTGTTGGTCTTGTATCCTACTTCACGATCCTTCGTGGAATGGCTAAGTCATTGGATTGTCTTCCACTCAAGGCCTGTTGACTTCAACGGTGGACCTCTGAGTCCCTGTCATCATCAGCAGAATGAGTTTTAGTCGCCTGTTCTCACAGCCTGACTTATTTTTGTAATCGTCATGCGTCCACGAAAGAGCATCGCTTCCCTCCACTACTAATTCCTAATCATTCCTTGCACACATTTAAATGGGAGTCAGTACTGATGTTGTTTGCGATGGGGTCTTGTTGGTCTGTCTTGTGAATTCCTT